AAAGGACAAAAACCTACAGAAATTATGGGATATCTATCTTCAAGAGACAAAATCTTCACATTATAGGAACTGATAAAGAATGAGAAAGAGACAGAGACAGTGTTTGCATGCAGTTTTAATGAAATAATAGCTGAATGATTCCTTAAACTGGTGATAGATGTCAACATCCTGGTATAAGTAGCTCAGAAATCTCCAATAAAATTCAGCTCCAAAAGACTGTACCAAGACACATAATAAACTATTATAAGTCAAAGAAAAACTCTTAAGAGCAGCAGGAGGTAAGAAACAAATCACATACCAACCAATGCTAATAGCATTATCAACAATTTCTCAGGATAAATCCCTACAAGCCAGGAGAAAGTAAGATAATATATTCTGGGTACTGGGGGAAAACTTATGACCAAGAATATTTTGTCCAGGAAACTATCTTTCAGAAATGAGAGGGAAATAAAAGGACATATGGGCAAACAAAAGTTTAGAACCCTCATCACCACTAGAACTGGTATACAGGATTGCTAAAGAGAATGCCTTAAACTGAAAAAAAAAAATTCCACTACTTAAAAACATGAAACAAATGAAGAGCAAAGTTCAGCAGTATAAGTAAAATAATGCTGTATTCCTAATACGCTAGAACTGTGAGGGTGGTGCACAAAGACATACTGATTCCTATTATCAGGGTTAAAATACAAAACTATGAATAATGACTACAGATAAAATAAGTTGCCAGAGATACACTTTACAAAATAATGCAAATCCTGACCTTTCTCATGTAACGTGTTTTTTTAGGGGCAGGGAGTAAATTGTATGTAGTAAACTGAAGTAAATTGTAGTAAATTGATTCCGTATAGAAATCAAGTCACTTTCACCTTAAAGTGGAATGGTATAAGGTGTTCTATGTAAGCTTTGTGGTAACCACAAAGCAAAAATTTTTTGTAGAAGCATAAAACCTACAAGAAATTTTAAAAAAGTTTTAAGCCATACCACTACAAAAACCACCGAACTACAAAGGAAGATAGCAAGAGAAAAGGAAGCAAAATATCTACAAAAATACTCAGAAAACACCTAACAAAATCATAATAGTAGTTTATCTAGAATCATCTGGAATGTAAATGGATTAAATTTTCTAATGAACAGTGGATAAAAAATTTTTAATCCATCTATATATTGCCTACAAAGTATTTCCCTCACTTTGAAGAATATACATAGAAAATGGAGGAGTAAACAATTGCATCTTTTTTCAAATGGAGGTCAAACTAGAACAAAGGAAGCTACACTTTTATCTAACAAAGTTTGGCTTTATGGCAAATACTTTATAAACAGACAAAGAAGCACCTTATAATGATAAAGAGGTCAGTTCATCATGAAGATATAACAATTGTAGATATAGTTATACTCAACATAGGGACACCTAATTATGTATAACAAGTATTAAAGAATCTGAAAGGTGAGATGGATGGTAATAAGTAACCATAGGGAATTTCATTACTCATTTTCAACAATGGACAAAATACAAAAATAAAAGTTGCATGGAAACATTGTTCTTGAACAACATTTTAAAACAAATGGACATTACAAACATAGACAGAACATTCCATCCAATGGCAACAGAATACACATTTTTCTCAGGCACACAGGTACTATTCTCAACTGCTTTGTCTCTATAGATTTGTCTATTCTGAATATTTCATATACACAGAATCATACAATATGTGGCTCTTTGCATTTGAGTTGCTTTATTTCACATATTTTCAGAACTCATCTCTTGGGTAGCACATAAAAGTGTTTTATTCCTGTCTATGGTTGGATATCATTCCATTTTATGGATCTACTACATTTCTAAAGTGTTATCAATTCATTGATGGATTTTGGGGTTTTCATCTTTTGACTGTTAGAACAGTGTTCCTGTGAACACTCACATATAAGTCCTTCTTTCAGTACCTGTTTTCAACTTTTTGCCTATACATTAAGAAGTAGAATTGCTGAGTTATAAGATAATTCAAGTTTTCACTCATTAAGGAACTATAAAACTGCTTTCCATGGTTGCTAAATCATTTTACATTGTCACCAACAATCTACCAGGGTTCTAATTTATCTTTATTTATACTGACACTTTTTTTAGAGTTGTCATCCTAGTGATGTGAATGTTATTTTGTGGTTTCTGCTTGCATTTCATAATCTAATTGCCTAGTCTTGCCAAGAGAACAAAGCCAGACTAATTTTTGACAGGCCTAAAACTGGAGTCTCCCAATTTTTAGAAAGAATGCTATTTTACTGTCTGAGTAATTGGCTGAAAAATCACTCAATGACCAAGCCAAATGTATGAGAACATATTACTCTATTACCAAGTCTACTGGACCTTACAGTAAACTAGAACAAGTGATGAAATGCATAGTCTTGTCCTAATAAAATGTATGTGAAGATATACATGAGGTATTTGACCAGGATTTTGCAAGTATGGATTTCCCAAGAATCTTACTCTTGTATTTGGCAAGACTTTTTCAATGCAAATAATTGAGTCCCAATTTAAAACAGCCTAGACCTGTAATAATCATCCAGAAACATTTTGGAGACTATATTTCTATCTCTCCTATAACTATCTCCTATAGAGAAAGAGAAAGAAATAAAGAAAAATAGTATGTTTTTTCAACAAACGGCCATAACTTTGAGTACCTCTTACAATTGTAGAGGTCAAAGGTAACTTGTATTAATCTCTTGATAGCTCAATAATTTAGTATATACATTTTTGGC